AAAAGGTAAATCTACCGTATAAATTTCTAAAATGATAGGGAGGTGTCATCAAACAGTGAAAACGTTCACCGATGACTCTACACAAGTACGCAAAAGGGCAGATAAAGGCAAGCCGAGGGTTATTTCACGTCGTCCCATGTCACGACTTAAACGAGAGGCCACGAAGAACACTGGACTTACCAGTCAAGAGCTTTTCAGTCGCATTGGGGATCCTACTGTGTCTAAAAGTACTGGGTGTCGGTATCTGAGGGAAATAGCAACAACAGTCAAACCTGTATCGAAGCTTACGTTGACGAGAAATCACATTCAAAATCAATTGAAATGGGCTGATGACAATATGAAGATTGACTTCTCTAAAGTTTTGTTCATAGATGAAACTCGAGCAACACTTGATGGGCCAGATAGATGGTGCAAAGGCTGTGTAATGAACGGACAGAATCGCCATCAGCGTTTGAGACGCCAACAAGGTGGTGGAGGCATAATGATCTGGGGTGGTATTATTGGAAAAACATTAGTGGGCCCATGGAGAGTACCAGATGGCGTCAAAATGAATGCTGATGCATACATAGCGTTTATGAAGGAGCATCTTGAACCGTGGATGAAAAGGCAAAGAGTTGCCTTCAGAAGGACCATTGTTTTTTTTATGCAAGATAATGCTCCCTCACATGCTCACAAGACTACCGAATATTTGAAACAGTTAGGCTTCGATGGACCTCGAAAAATGAATTGGCCAGCAAATTCTCCGGATTTGAACCCAATCGAAAACCTTTGGAGCGTCATGAAGCGAAGACTGTACGTCAACGGACGACAATTCAGGAGCAACGCTGAGTTGTGGGAAGCAATTCTTGACATATATCGCGGCATTACAGCAGATGACATCCTACAATTAACAAATTCTATGGATCGTCGACTTCTTCAAGTAATTTCAAAACAGGGAAAGCACATTCCCTATTAATTTGTTTAAAACTGTGCCTTTGTTTGTATCTGTTATTTGTTTGATTATCTTATTTATTAGCTTTTTTTATCATAAACATTCACGTGCAACATTAATAAACGTTTTGTTTGCTCAATTCTGGGAATTTTACTAAACCTTCTTAATAATTTGGCACGGTCAAATCACCGTGCTGATAACGAATATGGCGCCAGTTTGTTTACATTTCGCAGATCAGTACAAAAATTTCAGTGATTGCGCAGGTCAGTGTTGCCAACATTGCGTAAAACTTTTGTGTGAATTGATTGGATGGTTTTTAAAAGATTATACAAAAGGTATCTCGATAATAATTTGGCACGCAGTGTATATAATGGACTCTCCCATTGGTTTCGACATCTGAAGATCTGTCAGCTTATTGATTCATTTACGAAATTTTGTGCGATAATCTTAAGTGGCATTTAAGACCCGCTAGTGATTTAAAAAGTAGGCCACATATGTAGCAATATATATATATATATATATATATATATATATATATATATATATATATATATATATATATATATATATGAATGTGTAAATAAATCTAAATAATAAATAAATCATAAATAAATATAAATATTTTTATTATAAAATTCGCTTGAGGATGAAACGGAACTAATGTTTTTAGTTTAATTACAAAATTAATTTTGAAGCTTTTAGCTTCCATTTTTGAAACATGGTTATTACTGTGTAGCGAAAAACCATATTTTAAATCAATTAATTTATAATATTAATGCTCTGTAAATTTACATTGAGCACTATTTTGTAAAAATAAAAATATCAATAAGAACACCGTATTATATATCTTACTGTTCTTTCTTTATATATATATATATATATATATATATGTGTGTGTGTGTGTGTGTGTGTGTGTGTGTGTGTGTGTGTGTGTGTGTGTATTGAAATATTTTTATTGTTTTAAAACATTTGGGAACAGTATTCCCTGGCATTGTCTGTATTTTCTGGCTTACAAGACGCACTTTATTTTCTAAGAAATACCCTGAAAATACGTGTGCGTCTTCCATGACGAATTTAAGGCAACGCCCAGTCTCAAGTAAACTTGGATGGTCACCTAATTGGCTTCACTGATAGGGACGTGGAATTTTATGTTAAGTCATTACACTATAATGTCAGCTTTCTATCTAATTCAACCTTTTATATGATGTCACCTCAGTACTTAGCTGTTACAAGTATTGCCAAGACTATAAACCTTCCTGGAGCCGAGCCACAAGCTTAAACATGCTCTGTTTACTATCAGCGGCGAGAACCTTTCAGACGAGTGATTAATGTAAACAATACGTAGCGACAGTATGTGAGGGACGCATGGAGCATGTGTTGTTGTATGAGAATGGCCTTTTTTCTTAGAAATGTCTTTCCAATTTTAGCGTGTGTCTTCCAAGCCGCAACGTCTTGTAAACCGTCATATGCGGTATATATTTTTAAGTACTGAGATGAAATATTTTCATTCTTCCATGTACTTTTTAAACTGCTGTATTTCTCGAAGGCGTATTAGGTTGGCCACTGTCGCATTCCAGCTAGGCAGAGTATTACGAGACAGGAGGATATCTTTGGTAACAAAGAAAAGAGTACTGAGCTGCTACGTGGTGATATCTGGCCTCCGTTATGTCAGCGAATGTTGAATGGTCTCCTCAAAGATGAAGAGACTCGAGTCAAAGGGAGTATGGTTCTACAGAAGGATGCTGAAGATATCATGAATCGAGCGTGTGAGCAACGATGAGATTTTGGAGAGGATGCAAACAAGGAGGAAGCTTATATTTAACACCAGAAAGAGGCAGAGAAAATTTCTGAGACGCCTAATGAGAAAAGAGGGCCTGGAGAATCTGATACTCATAGGTCGAATAGAAGGAAAGAGAGACAAAGGAAATACCTGGCGGGCTTAAACGAGTGGATGACTAAACAGGAACTGGGGCAGGAGGCAGAAGGACGAAACTTTATGTGATCTATAACGGATAAAGAAAAGTGGAGAACCATGATCGCCTACGTCCTGAAGGGACATGACACATAAAAAGAAAGAATTTCTCTTTATTGCTTTTATCATATTTTATGTTATTTAGTATCCGACCCTGCTCAAGTGGATGTGGAATCCAATTATTATAATTTACTTAGAAATAGTATTAATACTTTCTTGTAAAAGATATGACGAATAGGCTGCATATGCACGTGACTATATGGTGGACTGCCGCTATGATTTTAAAGCAGAACTGACGTACAACCCACGCATATGATTTGAATAAAATGCTGATGTTTTGTGTAGAAGCAGCTACACGTTTTGGACGAAGTGATAATAGAAAAATGGTTTACAGTTTTGAATTAAGGGATTTTCTTCTCCTAGACTAGTTGCCACTGATGGCTATAGACCTACCCTGTCCTGCTATTGAAACCATAGCTAGTGTGAGTATTTGTGCCAAAATGAACCCAGTGACCTCAACGAGAATTTCATCTCGGTCTGCCGATTCTGTTTTCTGCGCTGACAACCAATCCGCTACGCGGCGTTGATGTGCACACACAGAGACAAACACACATGGTGGATGGATGATTACTAGACAGACATCGTAAATACATAGATTCGTTTAATTGTATATTTGGGCAGCAATCCTTGTTTTATACATGTTTTATTGAGTGTGCAGGTCAAAAAAAATTTTGTAATTTTTTCATTCAATTTTTCTCATGTCATTTTTCTTTTCTGAGAACTAAGAGTGTGGCGAAATTGTCCGTCGTATAAAACAGTACAGACCTAAACTAGTCGATAGGCACTGAAGGTACCCCAGCATGGAATTATTTCTTCTCCTATACAAAATAACCTAAATGCAAATACAAAATATAATAACAACGAACACTTTGACACCTTGAAACTGGCTAAAGAATTTACCGAAAGCCCTTGGAACAATAATTTCTAGGAACAGTTTATACTGTTGCATAGATGGTGGGTGTGGTCTGAACTCGCCTTCTCTCGGCCAACGATCGCTAATTGTTTTCGTTCAGCAATGAAAAACTTCAAACAATAGAATTTTAGCTTAACTATTTTTATTAATCATGTCGACATTATCAAACTATCCAGTGGGGGAGCCACTGCCCCTCACTAGGGAGCCGTTTTGGACATTAAAGAGAATATGTCTACATCGCTTTACAGATAAGAAGCAACTGTTTGAAACCTTTCTCCTACCTATCGCTACGTTAGCCAATCAAAATCGACTTCCCTATTATGGCTCACATCTGACCTCGAATGTCAACCTCTGGAAGTCAGAGCCGAGATACACTTCCTCTAAAAATAAGTCTGTTAAACTATTACTTAACACTACCTACTAAAGATACTAGAAAAAATATTAGAAGTTATTCAATAAATATGTCATTATATACAAATATATTATTCCAAACGTTCTTCTTTGTTGATAATCGTATTTAATTAGACGTTTTCTCGAGTGCACAGGTCGGTAGCCATACAACACACTGTTTTAAAAAAATGCCCTACGGCCGCTCAAAATGAACAACTACCCTAAAATACCGTTCGAATTAATAAAAATGTATTATTAAAAATACGTTAAGATACGAAATTGTGCAGATATATTTCTTTCTAGAATCCGAGAGAAACCTGATTTTAAAGGCACTTTTCAGACTTTGCTTGTCCATCGAGTTTCTCTGTAGCCGAGGAGTTAAAGTGCGTCAGATCTAATCCCGAGAGGTACACAGCACACACACATACACACACAGCAAACACCCACACACGCGCATATATATATATATATATATATATATATATATATATATATATATAGATATATATATGAAGAAATATAGTTTTAAGGTGTGCTATATTTACGATTGCGCCTAGCATTAAACATCCTGTCGCCTGTGAGTGTTGACTTGTTGACTTCAATGTACACTTTAATATATATATATATATATATATATATATATATATATATATATATATATATATAACGGTGAAAACTGAACTATATGCCCGTATAAATTTGTTTTGATAAGTTGCACATTTGCATGAATATACGTATAAATGTTGCTTTGCAAAGGCAAAAAGATAGATAGATAGATAGATAGATAGATAGATAGATAGATATGAGAGAGAGACATGAATAGACTAAGATAGATAGATAGATAGATAGATAGATAGATAGATAGATAGATAGATAGAGGTAAGTATATTACAGGAGAGCAATGTAAAATATACTTGGATTTGCTGCAAGTCAAATCAGTACAAACTGAAGTTTTCCAAGTCCATTTCAGCAATTAATTTAATTTCCTTTAAAAATCCAAAGAAACCTGTACCGATTTCAACTCACTGATATTTTATAAATGATGAATTATGAAAATGTATTTAAAAAGTAGAAAATATCTGGAGCAATTTCTAACTTCTTTGAAAGAAAATTAATCGAATGTAAATTGCCGAATATACACATTTTCAGTTTCCTCAAACTTCGCATATTTTTTTCCATATTTGATTGCATTCGTTTGTTAAAAAGCTTTCGTAAGACAACGCCTACTTCCATAAGAGAGATTTTATGTCGGCTGCTTTTAGTAAATTGTCCTTTCTAACCCTATATTCTAGCTCTGATCCACACGAGAGGTGTCAATTATGTTATCCTGTGCCAGCCTAAGCTAAATTTCCACAGTATCTGCATCGACGCCTGGCGTTAAATAAGGATTTAACTAATCCTAATGCAGTGACTGCAAACTTAAGTAGAGCTTAGCATTTACGCCCTTGTGCAAATTAATTAAAACAAAATGAATAATTCCAATACTATTTACTTTTTTCGTATTTTTCCAATGAAACATAACCTGGTGCAAATGTTAGTACTTCGTATGTCCATTCCACGAAGTCTTTCCTTCCATATTGACCACAGATTCTCGATTCGATTTAAATCAGGAGAGTTTCCGACCCAGCCTACAGTACTTTGTTTTGCTCACTGTTAAGGCTTGCTAGTGTGTTCGTGTAGTGTTACAATTATCGCACACTTCTTTAGAGCAACGTCCATTGCAGACAATAGTCACAGGACAACTAATCGACAATCGAGACAATAGTGTCTGGGCGTCATAAAAATCAGATACAATCACAGTTGATACAAGATTTTTCAAGACCAAACAAATTGCATAATACACCAATAATATTGATTACAAAAGGGAATTTCTGAAAAATATCTAAAGCTATAAGAAGCTATCAAACTTTTCTTCATTGCTTTCCAAATTCCTATATTGTGGAATGCGGTTTCAACTCAGTTGCATAGCTGTTAATAAACAAAAAAATTGCTTGCAAATCAAAAAAACGAAGAGATCTATAATTACCTCTAAGCAGCATGGAAACTAGAGTAAGAGCCTTAGCCAGTAAGCACCAAAGTCAATCATCGCATTGGAAACATTGAGATAAGCTATCAAATGAACCTAAAGGAAGAGCCTTAGCCAGTAAGCACTAAAGTCAACCATTGCATTGAAAACATTGAGATAAACTATCAAATGAACCTAAAGTAAGAGCCTTAGCCAGTAAGCACCAAAGTCAACCATCGCATTGAAAACATTGAGATAAACTATCAAATGAACCTAAAGTAAGAGCCTTAGCCAGTAAGCACCAAAGTCAACCATCGCATTGAAAACATTGAGATAAACTATCAAATGAACCTAAAGTAAGAGCCTTAGCCAGTAAGCACCAAAGTCAACCATCGCATTGAAAACATTGAGATAAGCTATCAAATGAACCTAGTGTAAAAGCCTTAGTGTGACACTGAGCTGTCGGTCCGTAGTCAACTCCCAGTCGCGGCGCGAAGCTGTAATGTTTCTTCCACTGGCGTTTTAGGGTTGACTTTTAGTCGCTGCCACCTGCCTGTGTCCCGGTCGGTCGGTGTTCCTCGCTACTCGGCGGAATCCCTTTGTCAGGATACCAATATCTGACACTGGTCCGTCCAGGGTCGAATTCTGGTCGTCGATATTAACGGCTTCACACCTGCTGTACCGGTTCGATACCAGCTCTGTCATTCCCAGCTCACTTCCAACGTCTGGTTTCCGGAGTAACAGATTCAATCTCAAGTCTAACCTACCCACGTTGTGATTTTGATCTTAGGTAGACGAGAGCAATCAGGCGTCGGGCCGTAGTATAGACTGAAGCTGATATCGCACAAGCGTAAAGAAAAAGAAGCAAGTAAAGAAAAACCCAAGAGGTTCAAGTGTGTTAAGAAATAACGAATTAACTTTATCCGTCTGTTATATACTTGAGTGTGTTTCTCTCCCAGCCCGTTTTCTCCGGAATGTGACACTTTTACGTTTCAAGCAAGTTTTGGTATCTTAAGACAACTGATTTAGTTCTTAGGTGCTGACTTGGCTTCGTTCGTCAGTATAACTTGTTATTGGTAGGATAGGCGAAGTCGAAGGTCGGGAAATCTCTCGGTCAGATTCTCCAAGGCAACACTCTGGTTTCCGCTACTCGAACTCCAAAGCCAACTGGCTAACTAACTCCAACTGTCGAACGGTCCGAGGGAGTTCGTTTATATGGGTACCGACCAAAACCCAGTACGGGACCAGACGCGGCCTGGGGTTCTCGGTAAATCTCGATTCCCAACAAGAAATCTTTGTTGTCAGGCCAGGAAAATTGATTACTTCCCATTTTTCGAAAATTAATCACTTTCCGTTTGGGGGTTTCCCTCGTCCGTGAGGGGAGGTCGGAGGAGAGATATCCTCCTAAACTCTTCCTCTCTCAAATTGATATCTCATAACAATCCCTTCAGTGGGCATAATAACTTCTCCGTCCTTCTCATCCATTCACCTCCGCCTATTACCATTGCTATTACTCGACCAATGGCATCCTGGCCGTGCGTATGCGTCTAAGCTGGCCTCCTTAAAATCATAATCCAGAATTGTTGTTTGCAAAATTCTCCTTTTTCCCATCGGCCAAAATTTTTTCGAATCCCATATTGCTACTTAAAATCTATCATCTTTTGATCACTCAGAATCCACTTAGCCAGCACTCTTTACCAATTCCATCAATCACTGTCAAATTTTGCCATCTGGTCACTTCGTGAAGTTAGCTTATACTGGAACCCTTGGCTTCTTGAGAAATTAAATTGTTTATCTTACCTAATAACAATTCTTCTACACTATCTTTTCTCATGCCCAAAATGTTATAATCACCATATTGCTACTCAACGTCTCGGCGTCCGAAAGCGACACTTTGGTAAAGTAAATAATAACGATCCTCTCCACCCGTATCAAGACAAATGCCAACATTTTATAATCACCATATTGCTTTTCCTTGCTGGCACTCAAGAGAAAAAATGATATCTTGGAAAGATAATTAATATTGATTCTCCGTACCCTGCATCGGCAATCGTCTCTGGCTGAATTTTTTATGACCGCCATGTGGTCTGACCGATATCTTAATGTTTTGCTTTTCTTTCTGAATCTCTTATCTCTCTCGTAAAGGCACTTCTTTACAACAATATTAATTTGATAAAATCTCACATATGGTTTTTTTCTACGGGTTTACTGTCTTTTGTGAAAGGTAACTTTTTCGTAAATAAAATCAAATCTTTTTAACACCGAACGGTATCTCTTTCCGGATAACTTCTTTCCGCCTCCAGTATTTCCTGTTTTAATTTCTATGGTTAATGAATTAGCCAATTACCATAGCTAAATAGTGTCACAATAGACAGTAAGTACCAAAGTCAACCATCACATCGAAAACATTAGGATAAGCTATCAAATAAAAGTTTAGTATTTTAATCATTGGCATTTATAATAGAACTGAAAACATTAGTAAATTATTTTTTCACTAACACCTAAGTGTTATCTTGTTATGAAAAATGAATTCAGTATAATATTCGAAGCGTAATTTGGCTGGTCGAGGGTGTTAACAATAAAATTTGTGCCCAGGGGAGGCGCTTGTTAAAAAGAAAGTTGGGAAACACTACTCTACACTAATGTCAATAAAAAAGGATTTGACCTCTTTGGATGATTTACTCTTTTGAACAGAGCAAATCTCTGTGTCTGCAGGTCGTGGATATTACGAATCTCCACAGCTTCCTCTCTTTCTTCATTATGACCGGCTTTCTTTTTATGGTATTGTTCCTGCATTTTATTTCACAAACCTGTCAAGTACTTTAGTCACTGCTTTTTTTTTTTTTTTGCTTATCTTCCCTGTGATGTGTCCTTTGAATGTAACATATCCTGATTGTTATCAACAGTTTTTTACCCTGTTTTTTTTTCTCGCTAGAACTTCTCTCGTGTCGGATAGTAATTTCAACCCTTATCGGTAGCCGTACCATAAGTCTTTGTTTTTCTGTGTGCTATAGAGTAGTTTCACAGTGGAGGCTTGTATTTCACTAAGTCGGTCCTTAAATAGGTTCGACGTACAAAACGTTAGGAACATGATATAATAGTTAATGACGCAGCAATCTAGTTGTGGTGGCTGATACTTTAATGCCCGATATCGACTGACTGACCAACTCACTGAGCCACTGACTTAGCGACTCGTTACTATTACTACTACTTATTATAGGTAGGAGAGTTTATTAACTATAGAATAGGTTTGTTTGAGTATAACACTGTGGAAACTCTCTAGGGTACGCATCACGTAGTTGTTTAGGGTACTTTGTTTCTAATGTCATTTTGTTTTCAATTCCTTAGTAACATATCTTCCACTATTCCTGCACGTGTTTGACATCCCCATTGCTTAACTAACATCGTAGCCTACCCCTTTTACTGACTATTATTTAATCGGATTTACCCTTTAAATCTTCTCGCTTTCCTCAAATGGCTTGTCTGATGGCGATTTCAGTCCTCCTCCTGAATGTGCCAACATTGTCACTTGCGCAGCGTATGTTGTTATGCTTAATATGTTGTGGTAGGTTTTCCAGTTCTCTTAAAATCATCTACAAGTACCCGCTGAAATAAATCCAAGGTAACAAGTCCATTCTTGCCAGCAGACTCCTCTTTCTATTTAATTGCACTCACTTATGGGAAGCCATTCCGTTCTCTTTTCAAATATCACATTTCACAAATTTTGGC